ACGGTTATCAATCCAGAATGTGTAATAAACAGAAAGCAAGAGAGCCTACCTTTATAATCAATAAGTCTGTCAATCTCTAAAGCACAAGCTCACTGAATTCTGCACTCACTGTCTCGGTCTTAACTGTACAATGAATCTCTTTTTGACATCGTGTTTACAGTTTGTTGGTTATAGCGAAAGGATGTGTTAGTGTGCGCACAATGTGTGAACTTGCATTGATTGAACAAAACTAAATCTTTTCAGCGGTGTTTGTTAAGCGGATTCTTGCTGACAAGTGGCTCTGATTGGCCATTTCGTTCACACGCTCAACAGATATGATTGTGATTGGCTACAATGCTCAACGCTTGTAAACACACTAGTGGGTACCGAATATACCCTGTACCGATAGGTTTGACAACCCTACTGTCCAGTAAAGTGAGATTAGAGCTGCACAATCCTGGATAAACTTTTTTTTTTTTTTTTTTACTGAACAAAATAACATATTTAATTAATTTTGAATTAATTATTATTATTTAAAAAAATAAATCTCTTGAATGAATGATTCAGTGACAAATTTGAATTTTTACCAGTCACTTGTCGCCACTTACTGGTGTAACAATGTAATTGATACAATATTAATTTAGTCAAGATACTATCAAAAGGTGATGTCTCAGTTTTGACATCAGGGTTTATATCCGAACTATAAACTTTTATCCCAGTACTTCTGTGATCCTCTGAATTATTGTAAGACAGAAATAATGATACTGTGTTGTTGAAGGCTGTTTGTGAAGCTGTTTCATACTAAACATGATAACTGCTCTCTCTGAGTCAGCGGCAGTGCAAAAGCAGATTTGAATGTTCACTGAGATCTAGTCCATCAAGTCAAAGGTTTAATAGACATGGCTGAAACATTGTCATTTAGGAATAAGATCACAGGGTGTTTGAATCGAGATCGCAATCTTTTTAATTATTAATTGTGCAGCTCTAACTGAGATGAGTCAAAAAAAGTATAATTAATAATAAAAAAAAAATCCAACCTTTTTTTTATCCAGATGGATTCCACTTATTTCAAAGTCAAACATGAACAGTTCAGCCACTCTTCTGCATCAATAAAACAATATAGTAAATTTTAAAAAAGTACTTTTTTTAAACAAAGAAAACACAGTAACACCACAAACTTGCATTAATGAAGTAAACAAGATCAATTTGATTGGAATTTCATGTTGACTTTGAACATATGCTTGGACATTTATCATACAATAAAACAGAAGATCTGATTTATACCTTGTTTCTGGGTCCAGTTTGGCAAAAATCTCTTTGTTATCCAACAGGTCCTTTAAGCTCTTACACAATTCAACATTGGTATTGAGTCTGTAGGACAAAATAAAAACCATAAATATCGCTGTCAATAATAAAATATATATATATATATATATATATATATATATGGATATAAATCCAGGCCCACCTCTCCACCATAGTGCCAATGTTTATGCAAGTCCTCTCTGCAGCCTCACGATAAGACGGGTCGGGATGTGCCACTTTAATAAAGTCTGCCTACAAAAAAATTTATAATAATATTTATGAGATGTATTTTTAATATATAAATATTTTTTTATTCCAATATATTTAAAATGTAATTTATTTCTGTGATGTCAAAGCTGAATTTTCAGCATCATTACTTCAGTCTTCAGTGTCACATGATTCTTCAGAAATCATTCTAATATGATGATTTGCTGCTCAAGATTATCAATTTGCTGCTATTATTATTATCAATTTTGAAAACAGTTTACTACGGTGGCCGAGAGAGCTCAACGCCCTGCAACTGAAGAAAACACATGCAAATAGAAAAACACCCGCAAATTAAGAAAACATCTTCATCAGATTTACAACACATGTGCTCCAAATACTCACAACACAACCAAATACAGAAACGCAGTGCAAATATTACAGAACACAACGGAAATGTTTTCAGGGAACCCCAATAAGTGACGAACCCGGGTGGGACGTGCTTATAGCTCAAAGTCTACTTTTTTTTTTTTTACTTACTTTTTTTGGAAAACATACAGAGATGACATGTCTATGACATATACACTCACCGGCCACTTTATTAGGTACCCCATGCTAGTAACGGGTTGGACCCCCTTTTGCCTTCAGAACTGCCTCAATTCTTCGTGGCATAGATTCAACAAGGTGCTGGAAGCATTCCTCAGGGAGTTTGGTCCATATTGACATGATGGCATCACACAGTTGCCGCAGATTTGTCGGCTGCACATCCATGATGCGAATCTCCCGTTCCACCACATCCCAAAGATGCTCTATTGGGTTGAGATCTGGTGACTGTGGAGGCCATTTTAGTACAGTGAACTCATTGTCATGTTCAAGAAACCAATTTGAAATGATTAGAGCTTTGTGACATGGTGGAAGTAGCCATCAGAGGATGGGTACATGGTGGCCATAAAGGGATGGACATGGTCAGAAACAATGCTCAGGTAGGCCGTGGCATTTAAACGATGCCCAATTGGCACTAAGGGGCCTTAAGTGTGCCAGGAAAACATCCCCCACACCATTACACCACCAGCACCAGCCTGCACAGTGGTAACAAGGCATGATGGTTCCATGTTCTCATTCTGTTTACGCCAAATTCTGACTCTAACATCTGAATGTCTCAACAGAAATCGAGACTCATCAGACCAGGCAACATTTTTCCAGTCTTCAACTGTTCAATTTTGGTGAGCTCTTGCAAATTGTAGCCTCTTTTTCCTATTTGTAGTGGAGATGAGTGGTACCCGGTGGAGTCTTCTGCTGTTGTAGCCCATCCGCCTCAAGGTTGTGCGTGTTGTGGCTTCACAAATGCTTTGCTGCATACCTCGGTTGTAACGAGTGGTTATTTCAGTCACTGTTGCCCTTCTATCAGCTCGAACCAGTCTGGCCATTCTCCTCTGACCTCTGGCATCAACAAGGCATTTCCGCCCACAGAACTGCCGCTCACTGGATGTTTTTTCTTTTTCGGACCATTCTCTGTAAACCCTAGAGATGGTTGTGCGTGAAAATCCCAGTAGATTAGCAGTTTCTGAAATACTCAGAGCAGCCCTTCTGGCACCAACAATCATGCCACGTTCAAAGTCACTCAAATCACCTTTCTTCCCCATACTGATGCTCGGTTTGAACTGCAGGAGATTGTCTTGACCATGTCTACATACCTAAATGCACTGAGTTGCCGCCATGTGATTGGCTGCTTAGAAATTAAGTGTTAACGAGCAGTTGGACAGGTGTACCTAATAAAGTGGCCGGTGAGTGTAATTTTGTATGCGTTTTCTTCAGTTGCAGCGCGTTGAGCTCTCTCGGCCACTGTAGTTTACATTGCACAACATTTTTGTGAAAACAGTGATACACTACCATTTAAAGATTAAAAAAAAAGACATTAATAGTTTCATTCCACACGGATACAATAAATTGATCAAAAGTGACAATACATACATTTATAATGTTAAAAAAGATTTCTATTTCACATGAATGCTGTTCTTTTGAAATTTATATTCATCAAACGATGCTGGGGGAACAAGTACCACAGTTTCCACACACACACACAAAAAATCTCCATTTTAATTGTGACAGAAACTTCACCTGAGGAGAGTAGTATGCTAAAGTTCTCATTTGTCATCTTCTATTATTATTAGCATTTAAACTTGTTTACCATGTCTGCCACTCTGCATAGGCTGTCTGACAGTTTGTCAAATATCTCCACAGTCTGGACTCCAGGGGGGCAGAGGCAGGCTTTCTCCACCAGCTGCTCTGTCTCCTGCAGGGCTCTGTCCTGGACCACCTCAAAACCCTCAACAGAGCCGAGCTCTGGGACACCAAACAACCCCTGTCTCACACACACACACATTCAGTTAGTGCGTTACGATATTAAAGGTCAATCAAACAGAAATTAAAATTAAACATAGATACAGAGCGTACCACATTTTGTTGGTAGAGCTCTAGTCTCCTGTGGACTTTAGCATTGAAAGCGGCTCCTACAGGGGACCAGGTGGTGACTGTCCTACAGACACGCGCTGCTGTCCCGCGCCAGAGCAAACACAGCAGCGGTCTGTACGCGGACATTACTGATGACAGTCAACATGCGACTCTACAACCACACTCAATTCACTCTTCACAGCCAGAACAACCGACAACTGAACTGACTAGATTAAACAACCCCAACAAACGGAAACCACTGCAGTTGGTTTTGAAATGCTCCTTCCAATGACAGTGAGCAGCACTTTGATATTACAGAGGCACTTTCGACACGTAAATGAATTCGTGAGAATTTCTAAAATCATATTTTACTATTTAAGAACGTTAAAATCAGCTTTTTTTATGAATACAGCTGTGGTCTGATTATTTACAAGAGATATCCAAAGATATTACAGTGAGTTTAAACAGCAAGGGGAAATTAAGCGAATCATCTCTGGTATTTCAAAATAAAAGTTCAAACATTATCTGAACATAATAAGCTCCTGAATATATGACTTAGCAACAGTTTATTATAATGATTGTAAATAATAATAGTAATAATAACAATAATTGTTATTATTGTTTATTATGATGTTTATTATATTGTTTATTTTTTATTATTATTATTTCACATAATTGAAAACATCAATTTGAACATTTAGATTTAAAAAAGAGAGACTAGCAGTAATTGTAATAATATACAGTATATTAATACTATATATATATATATATATATATATATATATAATTATTATTATTATTACTACTAGTTTCTCTTTCTATATATATATATATATATATATATATATATAATTATTAATTATTTATAGTTGATAATAATCTATCTATCTATCTATCTATCTATCTATCTATCTATCTATCTATCTATCTATCTATCTATCTATCTATCTATCTATCTATCTATCTATCTATCTATCTATCTATCTATCTATCTGCTAAAAGTGGGCGTGGCTCTTGATTGGCGTGGTTATTAGATTCATGACGCAGTACGTTCTGTGCGTGATGTGTGACGCGCACTCACTGCCGCACTGTACAGTCACATGACAGGCATTATGGAGCTCGTCGCTGTCAAACTTTAATCCGTTTTTTCTTTTAGACTAGAAAAGCGATGGACAGAGCGGAATTTTTGACGGCTTCTGATTTCCAGTGATATGTCAGGTCAGTTTTATATTCCTTTACAGACATACAAGCCCTGCGTTTAAACATTATTGTGTGTTAAGACAGGTTTAACAATGTCAGTTACATTTTAAACCACTGGCTAGTTCCTATTTTTGTTTTATCATCTTAAAGATTATGCCATTTTGACAAGTCGGAACTTCCCGGTATAAGCAATTAGCATTATGCCAGCTCATAAACAAATGTTTGCACAGCTGCTTAACACTCACAATAGTGCAAACTATGCTGCAAACTATGCTGTTAACTATATGATTGACACACATATATAGACAAATAATTATATATAGAAAGATTAGCTATCTTTAGTCTAGCCGGGAACTGAAAACATGCTTTTTTTTAATGTATACTTATTTTGCAGAGTCATGCTCAGTCACTCTGTTTACTAATCTTAATGGTTACTCAAATGTTTTTAACATTGAAAAGTAAGATTATAGTGGCTTTATATATATATATATATTACTTTTTTGTATTCTACATGGCATATTTGTAAATGCATCTGTATACTGTATGTGCCCCTCATCACCATGTATTGAGCTGGAAATCACTCCACCCAAGTGTAACTTGATGCATCTCTTTCTGTATTTCCACCTTGTTACACAGTTGCGTCTATGTATCTGTTATTTTGTAGCTAAACCCCTGCGTCATGTCTGTGGATGGCCCCCGGACCTCTGTTTTCACCTTTCAGTCCGCTGTTCACAGCCATCATGTTCTTCGCTCGCTGGAGGAACTGAGACAGAAGGAGCTCTTGTGTGATGTGACTGTTGAAGTGGAGCGCAGGAGCTTTCGAGCACACTCTTCTGTGCTGGCTTCCTGCAGCCACTATTTTTACACCAGGCTGACAAACCACAGCCGACCAAACCTCACTGTCAGCTTACCGGATGAGGTAATGCTTGATATGGTGGATGGATGGGTTGAACCTGGAGGTTTTCAGAAACCTATGTTTAAGCTGTCTTCTCTTTATGATTTGTTGTTATTTTTAACAGATACACACACACACACACACACACACACACACACATATATATATATATATATATATATATATATATATATATATATATATATATATAAAACTGTAAAAAAAATGATCAGAGCAAACTCTAAAACAAACAATTCAAACCAAAGTGAAAATTATGTCATCCTTTACTCATTTACATATGTATAAATATTGAACCCTTGAGGGTTAGTGACATGACGCATACTTTTATTTATGAGCACGGCTATATTTATCCAGAAATACATTAGAAAAATTCACACTTACATACTTCTATGATGACCATGTTTATAATTTCTGAATTCAAATTAATTTTGATATTTTTGGGGGGCAAAAAGTAAAAAAATAAAACTGATGCAACTGTCCTAAAATCATAAAGAAGAAGAAAAAAAGCCTTATTAAAATAATTAAATGATATAAATTAATATTTTATTATTATTTGTCGGAATTCTTTTTACAAAACTGTTTCACTGTTTATTAATATTTGTCTACAAATCAATGTAATGCGGTCCGACCAACTTGCATGAAAAAGTATATATAAAACAGGAAATTATATCATAGAGAGGACTTCTGTTGACTATCATAACTGTGTCAAGATCAATGATAATTTTGACCTTTTTATGGTAATGCAGGCTGTAAAATGTCATGTGACATTTATCAATGAATAATTCATGTTATTTGTTAATAATGATGATATTTTTTTCTTGTAAAAAAAGAAAAACGTTTTTACTTTTTACTTGATGCTTGCACCACAATTTTAATTTCTTGAACATGGTTTAAGAGTTTTACATTTCTTCCTGACAGTTTTTTTTTGCTACTTTTCATAATCCCAAATATCCTCATTTAATTTCATTATATGGAAAAGTCAAACTAACTTTTCCTCGAGTGTACGATGGAAGTCATACGAGTTTGGCACGACATGAGGGTGAGCAAATGATGACATAGTGTTCATTATTGCGTGAACTATTCCTTGGAAAATGGTTTATAGTGCATTGCTGTCAAATTAGGCCTTATACATTGAGATTAAATTAAGCAAACAATGTTACAGCTATAACCCAATAATGCGATTTTGTAAATAATTTATTCATGCAGTAATCATGACTAGATCATTAATCTCCCAAGGTCACTGTGGAGGGATTTGAGCCTCTTCTGCAGTTTGCCTACACTGCAAAACTTCACTTCACGAAAGAAAACATCCTGGAGATCCACAGATGCGCCGAATTTCTTGGATTTCAAAACCTCGATAAAGCCTGCTTTGAATTCCTCATCCCAAAGTTTTCTGATGGTGGTGGAGCCTCAAAAAAAGTGAAGGGGAAAAGCAAGAGCCAAGAATCCAGTAAGAAATCCCAAGCCATCTGCAGTCCTAGTGACCAAACCCCTAAAACTGGAGAAGATGCTCAGGATGCAGGAACAGTCATGCAGGCTGCATCTGCAACATCCTCTGCAGAAAGTCCTAAAGATTGCCCACCGATCTCCAATGGCAAAGAAATGCAGTTAGATTTATCCCCGCTGTACACAAGAAGCTCTTCATATCACATGGGTGATGGCCAAGACCAGTTTTGCCTGCAGAACTGTGGCCCACAGTTGCCTTCCTCTTCTGTGGTGGCCGGTGAAGTGTGTCCTTTCCTGTCCACTTCGAGCACCAGTGATAATGAGAAACTGCATTCGGCTGTAGCTGGCTGTGGTGGGGACATTTTAGCAATGGAGGAACAATTCCAGAAGGAACTAGCAATGGAGGTACGTTGTGAACCACCTACTGATAAAGACCTGAACATAGCCAGTATCACCGATGGCCACTTTGACCAACTTGAAGGGTCTCTAATGCCGCCCACCAACTGCAGCCAACTATGTCCTCTGAATTCTGTGGAGTCAAGCGGGGTTTTGGACGGGATTTCCAGCGCTCCAGACATCAGTAGCATTGGCACCGACGACAACCAGGTCTTTGATTCCAACAAACAAACGTTCTCTGAACTGTCCCCCAAAGATGGCTTCACCGAACGAAGCATAGTGGAAAGGGAAGTGGCTGAGCATCTCGCGAAGGGCTTTTGGCCGGATTTGAGCTCCACGTTAAATGAGCCACTACCTTTGGACTCTATCGACCAGTCGTCTGCTGGAAACGGCTCGGACTTCCACTGGTTGAAGCATCTGGATCTGGGAGCTGCGCCCGATGATTGTCCCTTCCTGAGGGACCTGAGCTCCACTGACAGACAGACCTCCGGGGGACACACTCTGTCCAATGAAGACACTGGAGACAGTTCCTGCATGTCCCCAATTAACTCCAGGGAAAACTCTGAGTGTGAATCGGATGGAGACTGTGCGCAATGTGGTAGCAGTGAACCAGTGCAGGAGGTGAGCATGCTAGCACTCAGAGTTGTAAAACCTCAATTTGGTGCCAAATTGCAAACTTCACCAATATTTTGTACTCTGTTGAGATTCCCAGACATGCATCAAATAAAAGTTTCAGACTCTACTAAAAAAATGTAACCAACCTCTAGGCTCTATAATGCAGTGTTGACGTCAAGGTTTTCTTCCCAGGTGGATTTGCCATTCCCTGTGGAGCAAATTTCCAGCATGACCAGGAGGGCATTCCTGCAGATGTTGAAACGCGAGAAACTGACCCCGGAACAGCTGGAGTTTGTTCAGGATGTGAGACGGCGCAGTAAGAACCGCGTGGCTGCACAGCGCTGCCGCAAGAGGAAGCTAGACTGTATCTACTGGCTGGAGGGAGACATCAAGAAACTGGTATATCTGTTTTATATCAATATTTTGTGAATGTTCTCCAAATGTTAATTGAGTGACATGGGTCTGATAAACTTGGGTATGACATGTATGCAGACTCTACGATGATGACACCTATTGAACCGTAGGCTATGACGCAAGTTAGTATAGAAGACTAAAACTTCCTCAGCGGCATCCACTAGTGGTAAACGAATAAGCAAGATGAGTCACTTTGGCAATTGTTTTTTATGTGCGCTGAAAAAAAAAGAGAAGGAAGCAAAAGAGGAGAATATGGATGCGGTTATGGCTAGGGAAAAGAGGCCAACTTTTTGTAAATGCAGAAAGTTTTAAGTTTTAGCGCCATGTCATGTTGATCAATACGACATTTCATGACGCATTTTTTTTGGCTAGTCAGTAAATTTCTGACACTGTCAAACTGAAAATGACAGTGAAAATCTTTGGGCCGTCTTAGACCCTCTATCACTGTACGCCGTAGGACCACCGTTTAGGAGCCACGACCACAGAAATTTCCATTATTGGTGATCTTTCGTCCGGGAGAGCACAAAATCGCACAATGTGTACCGGGCATAAAGACGCGTTCTCGCCTGAGAGCACACACAACAAGATCCTCGAGCAATAGTGCCATCCTCAAAACAAGTTTAAACACAATAAACCCCATATATACAGACATTATATGTACATATTGAATATATATTGATAGTTTAGTGCAATCAAACAACATGCAGCAGGATCATTGTAGTCTAGGAATGCTAAATGAGAGTTACTTAAAGACATAAATGAGAGCGAGTTAATCAAAAGATTCAGTCTTGAACTCTCAAATGAATGGCTTTGAATCGGTTAGGGTTCAAGGTTGACCCGTTTCCCATACGCAACTCTGCATAACTACCATAGTGTAATGCTTCATTGGAGGAATGAACTAGCTTGTCACGACTGTTTCCAGAAAAAAGTAGTAACTGTCTCACATCCGTCATTTGAACCGCTTTGGGGCTGCAGTGTTTCCGCTACATTCATTCTGCCGTGGCGGGCCACCACACCTAAAATCATCCCGCCACGGCTGCAGCTTCTCGGTCCGATATTGTTGTGTTATTGTTAAGCCCCACTAAAGGCATACAAAACATTGTAAAGCACCATAAAGTTTTCACACTATATTCCAAGACTTCTAAAGTCATTCAATAGCATAATGTGAGGTAAAAATGTATATTTAAGTCGTTAAGTTAATGGAAACTATATCTCTCCTCAGTCATTCTCCATTCAGCATTCAAACAGCACGTCGCGTTCGGTTACGACAGTAACACATAGTAACACGACGACACTCTCTTCAAGATCAATGTTCCCTTTATAGTATATTTGTAGATAAAGGTCTATAGTTTGCATAAAATTACTTTATCTTGCTGGAGTTTATAGCGCTTTCTAAATCACATTCCTTTCTCCCGGGTGTCTGTTACTACAGCACTAGAGTAGAGAGCACTATGAATTGTTCTTCATGGGCACTGTAAGTTAACTGAAATTTAAAACTGTTAAAAGAAAAGGCTCAATAAACTGTTGCATAGATATAATACATTAAGCAGATATAATCTCTTCGCTTTGTGCTTTGAACCTTTCAATGCGAAGCGCTGCACGCTGTGACTTCGCGTTGCTTCAAGTGCATCATTCTGCGCACGCGATGCGCATAATCGCTTTGCCGCTCTTAAGCCCCGTTCACACTACACGCGACGCGATACCATTCATTTCAATGGGGAGCTGGCGATTTCCGGCGACACGCGCGACAGCGACCGGATGGGGCGTGTCTGGCGACGCGACAAAGTTGAGATCTGTTTAACTTTATGCAAATGAGGAGCGACTTTCGGGAGCGACAACCAATAGGAGCGGAGCGTGTATGATCCTTCTCCACATCATTGGATGTCATTCATAAAGGCAACCACTAGTGGGAACTCCCACTAGCGACCTCATCGCCAGCCACTGGCAACATGCAGCGACAAAGTCGCTTGTAGTGTGAATGGGGCTTTAATGGCGCCTTTCATGTTATAATACTTAGGGGAGGTTTAAACACCTGGGATACGGGGGTGTGGCCAATGGGAGTATCACTCATGGGCCACGCCCCCTCCCCCTGGCGAAATGGGCCTGCCACCACGGCTGGAAAAAATCCTAGAGGAAACACTGGGCTGTTAATGACGTCACACAGGTGGTGGAGTAATAACTTCAGCTAACTAATTTGTTTGATAATTCAAAATAATGGAAAACATGGCATCTAAGGATTATTTCGTTATCTTTGTTCTCTGTTGTTTTGCTTTATTTAGATATCAGATTTTCACTACTCGCTCATTGGGACCAAAAAAAATTTACAATATGACTATAAAAGCGGTGGTGCCTGGAATCACCCTGATAATAAAAATAAGGTTACAGTTTTGTATTATAGACGATACTTTCATTGTAAAAATAAAAAATAAAACTACCATGTAGGGCTGCAACGATTAGTCGACGTTGTCGACAACGTCGACAATAAAAATTTGTCGACAAATATCTTTGTTGTCGAGTAGTCGTTTGATCTCACGTGACCTAATGTAAGGGCCTGCAATCCCGCGATTTGAACGCTACGGCGCTGTAGCGCTAGAGTGTAGTGCAGCCCTTACAAATGCTATTGCGGTAGAAGAGAAAACAGCGCGAATTATGACAGTGCAAACGAATCCGAACTAGCAAGGTTTGGGTTTGGGAAAGTTTCACAAAACTTCAAATCAAGAATGCTGTCGTGTGCAATGTTGGGGTGCAAGAGGAAACATCCCGGCAAAAGAGGAGCCGGTGAGAAGTGAGTGTTCTCCAGCTGGAGCTAACTAACCACCAGCGGCAAATCTCTCTTTATTAGAGAATGCAATACTTCTAATAATAGTAATAATATTATCAATAGTAATATAATTACAGTAATTTGATGACTTATTTTGTATAGAATAAAGCTTGATCGAGCTTAGGAGTCAGGGCTGTTTTTATTATTGTAACACTATTAGTATATTAGGTATTATTATAGTCTTATCACTTGCCTGTATTTTGTTCAATAATCATGAAGACTTACAAAACGAGATGTTATATCCTTCCTATGATATAGGAAGAATATCACGGCAGTCACTTTATCATACTATAAATTAAAAGGGAATGAGAACGTCTCTGTCAGCTCATTGTCATGTAAAAAAAGATTGTAATTTTATAATTATAATAATTGTTTGCAGATTAATATTTTACCATTCTTTGTGTCCTGAAGTAAATGTCCCTTTTTCTGTTTCAGTTCTAAGAAAAGCAGTGGGCCTATTAAACAATGCTTAGAGAGCATTTGTGTGTGATTTGAGTTGGACCGAAATCTGAAAACTTAAAGAGAATGACCTGTTTAGTTGGCTCAAAGTTCATTAAAACAACTATTTCAAAAGCTGAAGTGATTTTCTTTTTTTATATTATAGTTAGAATATGTATAACTCAATGTTTTAACTAATTGGAAAAGCTGAATAATCGTTCCAAACTTACTGATTAGTCTGCGAAATAATCGACGATTAGTCGATTAATCGTTCTAATAATCGTTAGATTAATCGATTATCAAAATAATCGTTTGTTGCAGCCCTACTACCATGAAATAAAGTAATAAATATGTTAAATGTTAAGAAAATATACATTTGTATACTAAATCTGTACAAATATGCATAAAATATACTTTTGGAAACAGTTTTACAATAAGAATATAATTTATTATTATCAGAGTTTAGTATATAAGCATATACAGTTGGGCTTTTGTCTTTAAAAGTATGACAAGAATTGTTACTGGGATCAATTAGAAAGCAGAATAATTTGAAATTGAAAATCCCTTCCATTACCACATTGTGTATGGGCATAAAGTGTACAATTATATTGCTTCTATTGTCCCTTTTGTTCAAATGGAGATCGAGTAAACCAATCAACACAGTTTTCGTGAACATGTAACGTTAAGAAAATCATTAGCATGTGTTTTGAGTACAGAATACAATCCTAAAATGGATCTTCTTTTGTCTCCACGTTTATCAGAGGAGCGAGAAGGAGAAATTACTGCAAGATCGCAACCAGCTGAAGCTCAGCTTGGAGGATGTGCGTCAGAACCTCTCGGGCCTGTGCCAGAACCTCTGTACGGACACCTCGCCGCAGTCCGAGCAGCTGCAAGTGCTGGCCAGGTACGTCTCCTCCGACTGTCCCACCTCCATCCTCCTGACCCCCATGGCTTCTCCTAGCCTGGCTGGCCCAGACCGGGACGTCCCTGCGAACACCTTTCTTCCAGACACTAGTCCTGAAGGAGACACAGTAGCACTCAGGTCGCCCGCTGCCTTCCTGAAAGACACCGCTCAGAGCGCTGTTACAGATCCAGCTCCGTGATGTACAACAGAGTAAAGCCGCTTGGAATGGTCTGATATTTCAGTTTTACTCAGGAGCTTACCTTTCTGCTGCCGTCAGTTACACTTTTGAGCATGACTTTCTTATTAGGAGCACTTTCGTAATGTTTCTAAGTATGGATGTGACTAAATTTGCACTATTACCAGGAGTTTCATATGGAAATGCTACTATGCCTTTCATTCCTTGCATAAGGGTCATTCCTGTTACGCCACACATTTTAAACTTTTGAACTCTTAAACTTTAAAAATGAATACACCCTTGTGTTGTAATTCAAAGTATTTCAGAAATAGGCTCTGGTTGCAGATGAAAGATGAATTACAGAATGGAACATAACAGGGTTGAAATGCATGGTTTGTTTTATTATGGATTGATAGTTAACTCAAATAAATATGGATATTTTTTTAAACCATCTTTTGATATTTTGATTCAGTCATTCCATTTTCTTTTTGTCCAACGGGATGGAAAATTAAGACAAACGGCTAAAGCACAATGCATCAATTAATTTATCGAATGAACTGCTAATACTTGCTCGTGTTTATGCTGTTGTTTTCCCACCCAAAATGATGTCACTTCCTGGACAATAATGTCATTAAGGACTTTAGTTAAAGGGATTTTTCAAAAGCCTAACAGGGTGGAAAGTGATATTAAGGAAATATCTAAGATTAACAGTTAGAACAACATCCCCAAATTTTGCATTTTGATTAAAGAAAGAAAAACATCTGGAAAATTTCTCAATTAATGACTTTTTATGCTTTTTAGGGCATTCATTGTAATATTGTGATAAAAGAAAACTAACTAATATGACTTCAATTTTATATTTTATCCAAATATAGACTTATGTACAGTATTTGTAAATATAATGGAGACTTGAAAATGTACTACATAACAGGAATGACTCATGGATTATATTCCAGTGCTAGCATTCATTTCACTTACACTGCCACTATGGACAATCATAGTAATTCTCTTTTTTATGTTAATGGTTTATGATTTTGTTATGCGATGTAGAGCATACAAGTACATTCCAGTCTAGCCTAATACGTCTTTATCATTATCGGCATGAGAATTCTATATTAAATAATATGCATCTGTGTTTTTTAAGTATCCGTATGTGCATATGTCATAGATATAATAACATTGTAAATAACTGCCATGTACGTTTTCATGCATATCATGTAGGATTTGTGAAAAATACATAGAATCCATAGTCTCTCTAAGGTAAGGCAGCAAAAAAAAAGTTTAGATACTGTTCACTTTTTGCTTGCTAAAGTGGACTGAGTTTGGAAAAGGCCTACATAAAGTCATAATTAATCCTATTTACTTTAATACATGTTTATGGCCTTGTTGTGCATGATGATTCTTCATTCCACATTACTTCAATGACAAGTTTGTAATGTAATATTTCATTAACATGATGTAATACCCTTTTCAGCTGATGTCAGCCTATTGGCTGTCGGATCACAAATTGAGATTCAGGCATTATTTTAACTCTCGTTGTGGCACAGAATGCTCACTTTTCATGTACTGAGGATCAAATCAATTTCTGACCTACTTTTTGTTTTGTCAAATACCCTGTTTAACTGTACTTCACATTATGGATGTAAAATGGATGTGAATGCTGTTTCATGTTGACTTTAATGCTTGGATTAGTCTAAAAATATAACTTGTTCATTTTGCCATTGTAGCGTCAATGAAATGTTCTGTTTTTTTGTGCTTTTTTTTGTGTGTTTTTTTTTTTACCCTGTAACCAACATACTGTCATGTAAGCCTAGAATGCACTGTATAATTCACTATTTGATTCATATTTAACAAATAGCAGCAAATAAAATGTCAATACTAATTTTTTTCACTAAATGTCTAAATGCAGTGGTGCTTGCTAAAAGTAATGTGCTAACAGAGACTGAACAAATAAACCAACCTTTTCAAAATGTAATGCATGAAATAGCTGAACATGTAAGCACAGTTAGTCTAAGGCAAAGAATAGCTTGGTTTTTAGGAAGGGTCCCTATTGAAGAGGTGAATGTTGATGCATATAATTGAGTGAGATCACGGTAAGGTTTCGTAAACACACTGATTTCACCATCACTAGCTGTTACTGTTTTCCCCAGAGCCCTTTTTTAAATGATCAGTTCCCGAATAAGAGAAATTGTGCAATAGTGAACCAGTTTCCACATAATAAATGCTTATGTTTTAAAAGAGTAGACCAAATTCACAATAAAAATCCAAAATGGGAACATTTCTCAAGATGTGATGGAGTCCAGTGGTTGTCAGCAGTTGAGTTACTTCACCACAAGAGGTCAGAATAATCATGTATAGCACATTCACACACACGCACACAAGTTTAAATACTGTCTTCCAATAAGCAACAAGCAACATGATTATGCCCAGAGATGTTGCTACCTTTCTCTCTGCCACTGACAGGGCCAGGCTTTTTGGCATCAACAAGTGGTATGTATTCACACCAGGAAAGTCCGATAGTTCACTTGCTTTGGTCCGGACCAAATAAAAATTTTTTTTTTTTTTTTTTGGTACGGTTCGCTTTCACACTGCTCTTTTTGCAAGTGAACCAAAATTTGTAAACAAAACCACACGTGTGCTAAGGTCGTCCATTCATTGGACAAGGATTCTCAAGTAGGGAAATCAGGAAGTGCAAAAAAGGCTCAGCATGGAGATATTTCGTACTGCAATATTTGTTCTTTTACTAATTTTGTGTTATTCTGTGCTACATGGGCATCTGCCCAAATGTTAATAAGGCAGCTCGTCTCTTCGAAGCTCCAGGTCAAACCACGACTCGTTTGATCAAAAGTAGTAGGCTACAAAAGATCACTTTCCCATAACGCAACTCCGACTACGGAAGCCTGTTAACTCAAAGGCGCAGTGCTTTCTTGAAATTGGGTCGGTTCATGTTCACACCGTAAACGAACCGTACCAGAGTTAGTTTGGAACCGTACCGAGACCACCTCTTCAGCTGGGTCTCGGTTCGTTTGTTTGGTCCGCACCCGAGTTCGATTGCTGTATTCACACCTGCCCAAAAGGTCCGCACCAAGGGGGGAAACGAACTAGAGTTCGATTCAATCGAACCAAACAAGGCAGGTGTGAATACACCCCAGAGTCCAGGTTAGTCAGCTTCCACATCTTCTCTCCCTGTAACCAACATTACTATATGACACAATAGACAGCTTATGCACTTTTGAGTGTATTTTATTGTTTGTATTTACAGAAGGACTGCATGTGCATGACAAAAACAGTTGCATGAACTATGTCCAATGGGGGGATTGTTATAAAATGCGTTTGAGACCACATCACAGACATGAATCTCCAACAACTTCGTAGCCTAACTATTCTGTTTCCACTAATCAAACTCGTTTGAATATTTATAATCTCAATTTTGCTTTTTTTTATATGATCTCCTTACGGCCCAGTGAGTTCGTTTTAGGGGTGAACCTTCATGCTTTCCCCCTAAAAATCCTAGAGTTAAATTATACATCTTACATGTTTTCATACAAATCAATCATAGAAATGCGTACGAATTTGCCACCTTGTGAAAGAGTACGTTTTTGCATAAAATCGGGTTGGAGTCTCTAGCTTGCTGGAAAGAGCCAAACCTTAAAAATCAATTTTGTCCTTTGCAGGAAGATAAATCTCCATCTTGAGCAACCTTGTCTTGGTGAATTTAATTTAAAGCTCCCTATTAAGATAAAGATAAAGTTGTGTTTGGTTTGCTCTCCTGCACTGAATTTAAATAATCTACCATGTCTAGGGAACATTGGTTTTAATCAGTAGAAAAACCCATTTTCTGTTGGTCCATCTGCTCAAGGTCACCATGCCAGTTGTCATTGACATTTCAGACTCCATCATTCTAAAGCTAAACTTTGCCAATTGGCTACGTTTGTGGTCTTCTGTGAGTGTATTGATCTTACCTTGTTTTGTTGAAACTAACTAGATTCAGAACACCATTAAAAACTCAATCATTTATCTTTTAAGTTGTAATTACTCTGTGTGGCCCGACAGGTTCTTAGCTTAGTTCTTAATTGTCCTTTCAAGGTGATCCCATTTGTTTACCTCCTCCATGCATACTAAAGATCTCCAAATTTATTTGGTTTTGTTTTCCTCTCAAAGGTCTTCAATGAGGTCAGTGCTTAGAAATATTCAAGTGGTGTAGCCAACATGCCATACAGTGACGGCATGGGTTCCTCCGCATATAATCATTGATGAAACCACAGCAGCATATTTATACAATGCAATGAGAAATGAAATGCTGATATAGGCTGTTGTTGTTTTGATCTGTTATTGGATTAGTTTTAAAATAATTTTTCCCTCCATCCAATGATTATGTTGCTTTGAAACAGTGGCATAAAGGGTCATTGATGACTGGTCCACTCAATAAAAGCTGTCAGAATATGCTAATGGTGTGTAAATAAAACAACATCAATAGCCACAAAATACATGTTGTGTATGAGCAAAAACATTATGACCACCTGCATGTGCTGTTGGTCCTCCTTGTGCTGCCAACAGTGCCGACCCGGCGAGGGATGGACTCTACAAGATCCCTGAAGGTGTCCTGTGTCTGTATCTGGCACCAAGACATTAGCAGCAGATCCTTCAAGTCCTGTAATGTCATGAGGTGGAGCCGCCGTGGATTGAACTTGTTGGTCCAGCGCATCCCACAGATGCGTAACTGGATTGAGATCTGGGGAATTTGGAGGCCAGCGCAACACCTTGAACTCTTTATCATGTTCCTCAAACCATTCCTGAAGAAAGTGTGCAGTGTTGCAGGGGCTTTATCCGGCTGAAAGAGACACTTCCACCAGTAACACCATTGTCATGAAGGGCTATGCCTGCTCTGCAACAATGTTTAGGTAGGTGGCACGTGTTAAATGTATGTCCACATGAATGTCCGGACCGGTTTCCCAGGAGAACATTGCTCAGAGCATCACACTCCCTCCACCGGCTTGTCGTCTTCCCATAGTGCATTCTGCTGTCATCACTTTCTCCAGGTAAACAGCGCACACGTACACAGCCGTCCACGTGATGTAAAAGAAAATGTTCAGAAGCTCACGTGCCCATTGTAGACGCTTTCGGCGGAGGACAGGGGTCATCATAGGCACTGTTCGGTCTGCGGCTACACAGCAGTGTGCAATGCAATGTGTGTTGTGACACATTCCTCTCATAACCATTATTAACATTTTGTGTGACTTGTGGCACAGTAGACCTTCTGTTGGCTCGGTCAAGACAGGA